CTTACATCGAAACGAATCGATTGAGCTAAAAAAACACTCATGTGAAATTTTCATTTTTGGTAAAAATTTTTCCAAGGGTGTGTCAACTGATTTTAACTAAATTTGAATACGGGTGGAAATGCCTGCCGTTTAAATCCAATTAACATGCCCAGGAAGGCGGTTATGTGTGAGCTTGATAAAGGAAATTGCGCTTCTTCTCATCTAGTTGAGAGATAATATGCGCAAACAATCGTGTGTGTGTACGGTGAGGAAATTGCAAGAACATCAGCTCTAGAGAACATTTTCCGCTAAGCACACGGGTGGCTTTAAAAGCGTTTCCAAACCAAATTTATTAAAAAAAAACAAGTTTTTGCCACATGAAACATTCAAGATTAATGATGACTTTGGCCATTCTTTCGAACGAATCGCTTCTGGTTTTGTCGTAAACAGCATCCCGCGTAGAAACCGTGCAAAAAAAGAATCGGAATAACCTGGTCAGAAGCAGTAAAAAGCAAGTTTAGTCGCACACATACATGTTTGCATTTAAAAGTCGAATAATTTCTGTCGAAGTGATTGCTAAAATTCAACTGCGTTGAAGCCCGAATAAGTTAATTTCGTTGGCCTGCCACATTCTATTGAAAATACGCATACATTTTAACATCGCACAAAGCCACATTATTAATTCCCATTTGTGTTTTTAATTACTTTCAAATAACAGTTAATGGCAAGCTATGGTTGGTGCATTTTGCATCGAAGTTTGATCATTTTGAGTTTTACATTCTGGGAAACTTTCGATACCCAGCTCGGCCCCCTGGAACTTTTCAATTTTATTGTTTAAATTTTGGCTTTTATAAAAATTTGAATCTTCCTAACTGAAGGAAACAGCAATTTGAAGTTTTTACCATCTTTTGGTGACTCTAATGAGGCTCAAAGTTTAATCCCCAGTAGTTAATAATTAGAGCTTTAAAACTTGTAGATCAATCTGTGAACGAACGGCTGGAGAACCTGTAGAACATGCAAAAAGCTAATTTTGATGTTTGCCATAAAAAGCTAGAACTAAAGAAAGCAATAAAGCAAATTGTCAAGGAAATAATGTTCGACCAGAATCTCGGGCGTATTTTATTAAAACCCGTTTCCGGCTGAACGATAATGGCAATTTTAATAAAACCACTTCGTTTGGGGGCCATAAAATGGCGTTTCGTGGGGCGATGAAGACAGTACGGTTGTGAATTGACTTCTTCATATTTATTAAAGCTCTCTAAACTTGTGCAGATAATATTCCTAATCCTTTGTTTTACATTCCCCGTTGCTTCGCGTGATTATAAGCAAATGCCCTTTATTACAGCGAAATTTGTTCTCCCTTGATATTCTCCCAGCCAAGCGGGATAATGTAATGTAAAGCCTTCTATAAATGTCATAAGATTTGGATAATCCAATATACATTTTTGATTAAGTTGCTCAGCTTTTCCTGCGTTTTTATTAGTTTTTCAAATGCAAAAATTCTGAAGACATTTGGAACTTAAGAACCGCTCTTAGTCTTTGACTCAAATTTTGAAAACCGATTGGGCAGCAAAGCTCTAGATGCCATTGAGGGATAGAGCCCCTCTTTTCTATTTCAAACGTTATTCTAGAATTGTTTGTTTATCACGCAAAATGTAAAAGTTGTGAAGAAATTTGCCTCAAATTTTGAAAACCGATTGAGCTGATCGCTATCGCGTTTCTTGAAGGGTGAATTAACATTCCATTCTTGCCCCTTAAAAACCTTTTATATTTGCACTTCGCCCGGCTGGGAGGAAACTGGCTTTTCAGTCTCATTTCAGAAATTGGAGAAATGATTGGGAAAACCATTGAAACCACAATTGGTTCAAGCGTCTGACCCGGCTTTCTCTTCCTTAGCTAATCCAGGCTTTCACATTTATTTAGGATCGCGCAAACTTTCGCTTTCCATTCGCAATTTCCCCGACAGCCTGCCAATGAATGGCCAAAAATTCAATGCAGTTCAATTTGAATCGAGATTTATTCAGAAAAAGGCGGCTCATTGGGGACGCTGTTTGCTTATTGAAGCCTGTGTTTAACTATCAATGACCACTTTACATTTGGAGCTAAACAGCCGATTGTATTACAAGGCGTGAACTCGAGTTGCGTTATTTTCATCTCTAAAAGCGCGGTTTTCCTCTCCACGTGCACAAATGCACGAATGTGATCTCTTCAGTATTCCGGTTAACAACCAAGACTTAGAATTTAATAAGTGACTCTTGCACGTTTCAGAAATCCATGATGACCGCTTTATCGGGACGCCCACTGCGTCTGAACCCAAAAACATCGATACCAAAGAGAAGACGAAGTTAAGCAGAGCCGCTGTGACTTGCAAACTCACATAAAATGCCTCCGAGTTTCCAGCACCAATCAGAGCTGGAAGAAGCCAGCTTAGTGCCCACGGCACCAGTGATTGAGGGCCTGCAGAACGACAGCTTTTCGAACTATACGACTGAGGGGTTCGATCCCTCTGTGCTCTTGGAAGTGGCCATTCCTTTCACGATCGTGTACGGGGTGATTTTCCTGACGGGAGTGATCGGAAACATAAGTACTTGCATAGTGATCTCCAAGAACAAAAGCATGCATACCGCAACAAACTACTATCTGTTCAGTTTGGCCGTTTCCGATATGCTGCTGCTGTTATCGGGACTGCCGCTTGAAATGTACAAAATCTGGAGCCCGGACTCGTTTATTTTCGGACACTTCATTTGCTTCCTGCAGGGCTTCAGTGCCGAAATGTCCGCCAATGCCACCGTAAGTACGAATTGCAAAGTTAATTGTCCTGCTGTTTGGAAAAAATTAAGCAAACCGTCCATTTGCTACGCGCTCTGCAAAACCGGAAGCAATCAGTTCTGGCAGAGGCACTTTGCGTGATAAATTCCTCCCTACTTAGGCCTACATCGAAAGTAATTTTCAGGATTCGAGAAACTTCTAAGGATTCCATCAACACGGTGTATGGAAGCAATGGAATAAATTGCTGCCGGTGAAGGACCGGAAGGTGAAGGGCATATGTGTGACGCATTTTTTGATTCGAAATCGTGGATTATTTTATTTTTTCTTCTCGAAGCCTGTATGGTGACGAACCGGGTAAAATGTCCTCACTTTGTCTGCAATAAGCCAAAATAACCAAAGTTTCTTGCGGTCATTGCTTGAAGCTTGTGAGTTTTCGGGTCACTACGATCAAAGCACATTAAAAAATATCCAAAAAATTGTCTGATGATGACAACATCCAAACCCCTTTCACAAATAGAGCGCACTTTGGCCTATAAAACGCACTCAAAATCGCATCTCCAGCTTTAAAAAAAAATCTTCAAACTAGCCTGATGATTGCTCAAAATCGAAACTTCTACGCTTTATAAAACCGACTATGCCGAACAAAATCCATACAATCATTAAACCCGAACCGAAATAGTTTATAAAGGAAAAACTTGAAAAGTTCGGCCCGCATTAATAATATCTAGTTGTTTAATAGTGCCACTCAAGAACGTATCTCGCATCGATTGTCTCACTCGCACCCGTAGAAATCTATCAGAGGTGTCAGATTGCGGCGCGTGGCTACGTTCGAACTTGGCACCTTTGCGAGACAAAACAAATCGGTTTTGAGCGAGAAAAAATGTGAAAAATATTTGAAATTTCTTAAAACTAGTCAACATTATTCGGTTTTTGAACCGTAAAATCCCCCAGAAATTATAGAATACATAATTCCAAATCACCAGTGTTTGGATAAACTCAATATAGGCTAGTGCAAATAATGTTTTTGAAACAAAACCGTTTATGCGCGAGAAAAAAATTAAATACTGAACGAAAATTCGAAACGGCACTAGCGTAGAAGCGCTGGAAACAAACAAAATTTTCCTGAAAATTCCCTGAAAATGATGCAAAATGGAAACGTCTTCCACTCATAAATGCTGGAAAATTGCCTGATGATGATTGAAAGTTGAAACGTTTGCCACTTATGGAGCAGCTTTTGCCCTAGAAAACACATACAAAAACAACTCACTTCACTACTTCCTGCATCATTGAAAAAAATTCAAACTTTGGCCTGCAAAACAACCTCGCAATTTTGTCGGATAATCTCAACATTTCTTTAAAAAAATGTGTTTGTCTATAAAAGCCGTTTAGCAACGTGATTGTTCAATCAATCAAATACCCCAACTGTTTTTCTTCGCGATATTAGTTTGAACAATACCGTAATTACTTGCAATCGAGCTGCGCCTGTTGAAAATACTACTTTGAGCCGAACTTTCGTTGTTTTATTGGAAATTCCGACGAAGGGAAATAATACAAGAAAAAACAGCGCAACATCAATAACGTTGGTGCTGTTTTATGTAAATAAAACTACCCTTGAAATTGAAAAGCTTCCAACACCTACAGCCAAAGACGGTGAAACTAGTCGACAATAATTCGTTATGAAGCATAAATAGAAGTAAATAGAAAATTCCTAACCCACATCGCTCTGAATGTTTCGCAAATAACGAATCGCATAAATTGCATTAATTTCCTTTTAAACCTCAGTCGCTTAATACTGATCTGACGAACGCCATTAATGGGAAAAATTATGCAAGAATAAGAGCGCTGCTGCATGGATAGTAGTTTCCTGACCTAATTCCAACTGAATATGAAGAAACGTGAGGCATTGGAAGCTGTAACTTTGTGGGCGGAATTTTGCTACAAAATAATTGAATATGTGATGGGTTTAGACACTCCAGCTGAGCGGAAAGTGTAATCCAATCACACGTACTTTGGGTGTAAATAATAAATAATGGAAAGCATTGAAACGATTCTGTTGGAGACAAGACTGTAAGGGATTCGGCGTCCCATATTTATTCCATTATTAGTCCGATTTATTCCGGCGTTGTAACCAGCAAATTAATAAATGATTGGTTCACACAGTGGAAACCAGAAAATGTGATTTTTTGCTTGAGGTCGGGAAACTAAAATAATATTTAAGCTCTTCTATTGGGGGAGTGTTTCTGGTACAAAAACACATTGAGGTGGCTGGCAGTTTGCCACGCCCTTTGCTAATTTGTCACACGTGCCACTCTCAGGTATGTTTTTCTTTCCCACATAAGTGAAATTCTTGGAGGAAACGGTCAGAAATTAAGCGAAATAATTCGCTCATTGATTGAGTGCCACTTATCGTGGAAGTGAAATATCTGGTTAATGCGGAAGAGGAATAATTGTGTTGGAAAAGGAAGTTCGAGAAACAAGTGGCGAATAATCACGAAAGATTTCGTTTAAGCAATTGGTCAAATACGTCTAATGGAAGAGAAACTTAACACAAACACCTAGACAAATCGATAGAGCAAACAGTGGTCTCTGAAGAGCCCTTACGGCTAGACGTTAATTTCCACTATCCTGAAATGCTCCTATTAGAGAAACCTTCGTGAGAATCGCCTGGATGGGTGCATTAAATATGCAGACAACTTTACGAGGCGATTATCAATACAAATAACCGGGTGAATGAAGTTGAGAGTTTTTGTGGCTTACAGGAAGAGTGAATAAACTAACTCGAACTAATTGAAACAAGACCGAACTCGGGACTGTTTACACCGTTCGCCGATGAAATCGAAACTAAAATAAAACAAAAGTGATCCAATCTAATAGTTTAAACAACTAGGCTTGTGTTGCGGTTGGGGAAAACCCTATGAGAGTGTCGATCCACTTTGATTTAGAGGGCTTTAGAGGACTGTATTTAAAAGAACTTTTGCGGCAAAAAGAGAGACGCAAGTAACCGGAACACAAGTAAAACGCAGCACTAATAGATGTAGTATTGTGGCAAATTAATGCGAATTAGACTGGACACAAAATTCAGTTCAAATATTTGATGCCAGGAACGGAAATAACAAGAAAAACCAAAAAATGTAATTCTCTATATTGCAGACAGTTAAGGCTTCCTATACGTTACTGCTCAGGTTGGCATAGAAATTCGGCCTGATTCTGATAGTCCTGGAGAAAGAAAGTGCGTTATAAACTACCCCTTTCACAAATTTCTCTAAAAAATCTGGAGGAATCAAGTCTGGTGAGCCCGGAGACCAAATTTAACAGGCCAGGACTTCACGAAAATTTATTTCCATCAAGCGATGATCTATGGGATTTTAAAGAGTTTTTGAATTTCTGGAAAATGTTGATAATTGACCGAGTTACAGGGTAAAGTGTGGAAGTATGTGCAAGTTTGAGAGTTTTACGCTTGCCAATATTCCGAGCCCATTCCGTTTCAAACGCGTTGCAAAAAAAAATGGAGCTTACAATTTGCAAACAATCTGATCTTCTATTTTGAAATTGAGTTAATCGAGGTAAAAATGCAAAGTATTTTGCTCGGGATATCGTCTTTTCGACTTTAAAACCATCAGAACTTCCAAGTTTTTCAACCGATTGCAATTTTCTGAGCTGCAGTTTTTACAGAAAATCGGACATTTTTCAACAAATTTCGAAGTCAGCCCGATCTTATCAGGTATGCAGAAAATTTCATCGAAAGTGAAAACATCACTCGCTTTAGAACGAATTTTCAATGATCCAAATCGGGCCCGTATTAAGAGAGTTACTAATTTATTCATACTGGAGGATCTGATGCGCAATATACCTTATTATAAAAACAGCTAAATATTCATAATATGCGTGTTACTCGCGTAGGTGTTTGCCATCATACAAAGTGTTCATTTTCTTAAATTATCAGTAAAATAAGAAAAAAAATGTGATTACTCGACGTAAACCCAGCACATGAGCCCCCTTCGGGATCCGCCCGGATTCTTTCTAGTAATATTGGAAGTTGAAAAGAGGGCCAACTGCTTCACTATAACTTTATATGACTCTACTAGAGAATACGGAAATATTCGATTGATTATTCCAATAGCGGAACCTAATGAGCAAAAACAGTACGTGAAGTTGGGCCAATATTCTCAGCCCGTTGAAAGTTGCTTAGAGAGCAACTTTTCCTTAAAGTTAATGGAAAGTCGAACTTTACGATCGACCATTCGTTCGCATCGAAATCCATCGACCGACTGGTGGAAAACACGAAAATTGCCTGTAAAACTATGGAAAATGCTCGATTAATTTTGAACGAGCTTTATAGTTTTTGATTGATCTGGGGCATTTTTGGAAAATTTCCAACGCCCAGTTGAGTTTCCCAGTTTCATCCAGAACAGAGAAAACAGCTAAAGGGAACAACACCAACCCTGCAAAGCCGATGAATGCAAAGAGCATGAAAATGAATTAAAATAAATTATATTACGCCCCCATTCATTCGTTTCCGGTTTAACTGAGCTCCTTTTCAAACTAAGAAGCAATTCATAATTAATTTTAGTGATCTGCTGTCCTGCCTGTTCCATATGGCAGGCATTAACCCAACAAAATGGAACACAAAAGCCTTCATATTCATCGAAATTACCTGGTGAAAGTGCGTGTGCTTCGAGTCCTTTTTGTATGCCTGTACATTTAAATAACTGAGGGTGCATTAGAGAAAAGTCCCAATAAAGCAATTTGCCTGCTTTCCAAATGGGAAAAACCTTCAGTTGCTCGACGTGAAAACCGCTCTGCAGCTTTGAAATAAAATGGAAACAAGGCCACCTTAATTGTTTTTATTCCTTTGCTGGCTTTGCGGTTCAATTAGCTCGTTGCTGAGACCAAAAACGCCTTGTTGAAAAAATTAACAGACAACTCCAAACGCACTTACTCCAACCTTTAGCCAGATACAACCTGGAAACTTAATTAAAATGCGAAACATAATTCGCCGCTATAAATCGAAGGGAAAAGTGGATTTTGCGGAGAGGAACTTAGAAAATAAATTGTAATTTCCAGTTTTATTAGTGACGTGGCGCGGGGTTATTAAATTTTTTTCGTCGGCACAAAAACAAATCTGGAATTCCTCAATGTGTTTGATTGGTCGGCAAAAGTTGCTCTCTCAATGTAATGCCATAGAAAGTCTGAAGCAATTTGGGACAAGGACGGGCAGGGTAAAAGTTGCCAGTTGGAAAACGCGCTTTTGCATAGGCCAGTAAAGAAAACTGGTGCCTGGAGAGCGCTTAGAACTTTTTCGGCATTTCGCTTTCATTAAATCTCACTAAATTGCCACCCTTCGAATAGGAGTCTATTTTCTACTTCCTTTCTCATTAGGTGGGAATTGACTGGGAATAGCAGTTTGCTGAACAGTTGGAAATCTGTGAATTGTCGATGGTTAACAGTAAGTCAAGTCGTGCAGGGCCCAACAACAGAACAAGCAAGGGCGGATCCATTCTCTATCCAACGATGCCAAAACGAATTCTCTGGCTCGAATGGTTCTTGAGAAACTTCGAAAAAAGCAGCGTCATGTTCAAGTGGATTTTGCA